CACAACACACCCACATGATCCCTATCGACTTTGGTAACAAAGTTTGTATTGTTGTTATATAAAAAATATCACCAACGTATCGTAGTAGCACGCTACTAAGACGCCAATGACCAGAACTCCATGTATCATAGCGCTAATGCACTAAGACATGAAGTTGAGTATGCCTGTTACACTTAAAAGTGCTACCAAACACACTCATCATCCCAATCCGAAATATAGACGACGCATCGCTATGCACTACTACGCCGCCCACAAACGGTATGGGTGTTCGATGTCCACGGGAAAGCCGTATTGCTACAACAAACCCGCTTACTACCAGCACTAAGATGATATGTCTAGGACACATCGGTTAGCGAGTCCAAGTTTACCTCGAACCAATTGGTCGTGAAGCAGCATACACGCCACCACAATATTCCTTTTCAAGTCCCTAATAAGGACTAGTCATTTTGCTACAGTACTAGGAGCAGTCGGTCACCCGACCACCCCATACAATGCTTATGCATCAAGGAGACCTTCAATAATAATGCTTTTGTATCATAGACCTTACTTTCATAAGTCATTCATATATAGGGTTCGAATCCATGACCCTACTATTGTAATGCATATTCATCATAGAGACCTTCTATAGTATTGCTTTTGTATCATAGAACTCACTTTCATAAGTCATTAATATATTGGATTCGAACCCACGACCCTACTATTGTAATGCATATTAATCACAGAGACCTTCTATAGTATTGCTTTTATATCATAGACCTTACTTTCATAAGTCATTAATATATAGGGTTCGAACCCACGACCCTACTATTGTAATGCATATTCATCATAGAGACCTTCTATAGTATTGCTTTTGTATCATTGAGTTTATTATCATAAGTCCCTAATATAGGACTAGTCATTGTGCTACAGTACTTCAGGCAGTCGGGCTCCCGACCACCCCATATATATTATGTACAACTGCAGGTATGTATCTCCGGTAGCTCCTCTATACAAGACGTCTGTACATGAACACCTTCCATAACTTAGGAAACTTTTCTTTTATACGTGAACTCCTTCCACAACTTAGGAAATTTCTTTTATACACGAACTCCTTCAACAACTTAGACAATTTTCAACAAATTTTCTAATTATCTTATAAATGTTATTTATCTTTATTTTTATAATATTTTCGACTTGTATTTCATATATTGATAAATAATATTTATATTAATTATCTTATTTTAAATATTTTTTTCAAGTTTTTAATAAATTTATTTATTACGGAAGACAATATTTTGCCTTTAATTTACAATGTTATTGGTCTAATGTCTGAAATGTATTTATATTAACTTTATGGTTATTAATGTAATTTTATTGTTTAATATATATCTTTTAAGACTATTTTTGACGCCCCTTTATATTGAATTTAATTATTAATAATAATATTGGGCTGTCACAACAGGTAGAATGATCCGTAGGTAATAGTAGATTGTATTGTTAAAAAGGTAAATTATATCGAGAACAATTTTTAAATTTTGTCATTTATTTTATATATTATATTGCTCATTTAACATAATATTATATCACTATTACATTTTAATGACATTTTTATCTATGGTACCTATGTGAAATATAAAAAACATACTTAATGTTTAACAAAACTTATTAATATAACGTTTAAATTACAATTATATTTATTTAAATTAGAGTAAGAGTCGTTCATAAATGCTGGGCACGCGAGGGTTAAAAATGGACGAATTTATTCCACTTTAACTTTGATGTGGAGACCTAAAAATAAAATAAAAGAATAATGAGCAGATATAAATACAAAAAAATTGACTAATTACAACAACTTATATATGTTTCTACAAAAAAATGTATATAATAATATATTCGTCCTATACTTAAGTACCCACAGAAATGTCGCATCTGAAAAAATTTATTTCATAATCTATATTCCATGACACGAGATGGCGTCTTAGAAATAATTTGTTTTATTATTAATATATAATACTTTTTTATTGAAAAAGTATCTTATTAACCGATGAAAAGTAATTCCTTGGTTTTTACTGACATTTTTTGAATTATTTGTGCAATATCTCAGTACACACGATGGCATATTTTTATCAAGAGATTTTTTTAAATTAACACAATACGTGACAACTCTACAAGCGCCTAGCAAGTGACTGATTAACGTGTGGTGTAAGCACCGCAGTTGAATGGAACAGAGTAGCTGAACACAGTGTCGCCTCTAGTACGTAGTACATAATAGCTCAATGGTTTCAATAAAATCTGCTTTCTTTGATAATTAAAGTGTTTTTCCCCAAGAGCTTGTTCATTTACTGAAACTCATGTGAGCTATGAAAGGAGAACTGGCACAAAAATCTTAATATGTCTAATAGTATGAAGTTAATCTTAAATCACAAAATGATTTGTAAGTCTCATTAACGCTTACATAGGTTTGTTTAATAGTGCTTACATAGTTTGTTTTATAGTGTTTTGTGGACAGAAAATAATATGAATACAATATGTCACTTCACCGAAGACGTGTTCGGTGAAGATTATCTCTAACAATATATTCGATTTCAGGGGAAAAGAGCTCGTTTTGCCCCGTGCCATGAAAAAAGCGGCGGGCTGCACTGCTCTTCCATTTGTTTAAATAAAGTTCATAGAAATTGAAGCAAGATTGTTGAACACATCTACCTAGTAATATTTGATGTACTACATTTAGGAATGAACTATGAGATTTTTATCTCTATTCGATGGAATAGTTCGTGACAATACTACGAACTATTTCAGCAAATGGAGATAAAAATCTCACATTGCATTTAATTTTTAATTATTTACATTAGCTAACATGATAACAAATGACGTTGGTACAACAAAAGAGCTTCTCTCTTAATCACAGTTTTGTTTACACAGTATCCAGTATATAACAGTGTCGTTAGTCATTTTGCCAACCGTGGTAATTGCGGTAAATTATCTCGATAATGGCCACCGGTCTGGGTAGTTAAAGTTTTGGTTATAAATGAATAATACGCGCTCAGTAGCATTTTATTTATTTAATTTTATCAGTCTTATCATTAGTTGGTAGCAGTAAGTAGATGGTACCACTATTATATTTTTTATTATATTATTTTTTATTACATATTATTATTAATTGCAGGCAGACCAGTTTTAATCAGTTTACGCACAGGTTAGTAATTGAACTAAAAACCATATTAATTTTCATATTTTTGATAGACGCCACTATTATATAATTAAATTAATATGAAATTTTGAAATAAAATAACTTTAAGTAATCAACGAAAGGAGGCAGCATCGCAAGGCATAACCATTTACAAAAGGTACGAGAGTCCGACTCATAGCCGTTATATAAAACTAGTTGCTCCGCGTCGTGCGTTATTCCGCACATAGATAAGAGTGTTTATACGGAAATAGATAAGAATCTCTAACGTAAAAAATTACTGCGATAGCAGCGCCGCCTGGAAGCTAGTTTGTTAATAGGATTGTGAAGCTGTAAATTTTCATACAAAAAGCGATAACGTTTTCCCACCAGTAAACATAGTCTAATTTTCATAATTTTTGGAGATGCTGTAGATATACCAAAAAACTAGGTCCGTATGTTTTAATTTTAAAGAAATATTACGTACGATGTAAGTTATTAGCATCTAAATATCTATATTTTTAACTTAAAAACTTCCTCGAGCCTTTTTATTTTTCTTAATTAAACTAAGATTTACTATAAAAGAAAAACGTAGAAACCTAGACTAAGATGTACTGAATCTAATGGTACCAAAATAATCTCGTTTCGTAAGGGTTTAGGGGGTTAAAAATGTTATCGCCCGAAACAATATTTCAATAAAGAGATGTAGGCAATTACTTCCAAGACTTGCGACTCACTCTAACGCACGATACGGGTCGGGAGGCAGGGGCATACGGCATCCTGCTGTAGTTGTGGTTTGTTGTTATTAGATGTTGGAGATTTTATCGATATATAATTCAGTTCATTGTTAAAATTTAGATTAGTAAATTAGTAATTAGAATTAGTAATACACACAACATTTTCTAACGGACTAATATTATTACTAGACAAGTGGCAAAATTGAAAATGTTGTACAACCGACTTCAATAAAACTCAATTACAACGTACGTCATGGTTGAAATGATTTCTATGAAATTTATATAAGGCCAAATGTGAGACATACATCATCGAAGAAAAAATGAATAGGTATTCAAAATCGGACGGACGGAAAAATTTTGACGTCACTTGACACACACAAATGAACAACACCTCAACGCTTGTGCTCTCGCAAAAATATTCAAATTCTCAGTTTCATTACATTAAAAGTGCTAACAACTTCATAGCTTTGAAGTTAAGTGTTTATTTGTGGCTGTGTATAGTGTGCCTGGTGATATAATTAGTGGAAATTACTTCAAATTTAAACAATAACAGTTCAGTTCATAAACGATCATTAAATTTAAATTACGTTCAAGGTGTTGACAAAAACGCGTAAGCGACGCTAATTGCACGGTGCTAACGACCTTTTTGTCACAACATCCTACCTTAGATGCGGCCTGTGAGCGGGCTTGACTAACGGCTTGCAACAAAATAATATTGCATACTGGAGCTTAACTTCTCTGCTTTTGGGTGACTTTTGCTTGGCTTGTCTTGCATTCAGTTTAAATAAAATGCCTCCAAAAGCAAAATACTGTGCGGGCTGTTCGAAAAAAATCACAAACCGCGAATTTTTGTCTTGCTGCTTATGTAACGATACCTATGATATTGAATGCATAAATTACTCGTACAAGTTATTTTGCCTTATGGATAAGGAAAAGAAAGACAATTGGAAAGGCCCAACATGCAAAAGTAAACAAAGGAATTTCGACAATACTAACACACCTGTACAAGGCTGTCGCATGGATTCGCTTTCATCTGCGTCTGATCAGATAACCGAAGACTCTGAAGAATGTAATTTAACTCAACGCAAACCGCTAATCCCAGAGAAACAACCATTATCTCCTGGTTCTTCTTCTATCATGGACGATAAGGTTTTAGTCAATATTATACGTCGAGAAATACAGCAGTCTGTGACGGAGGCTGTTGAATCAGCCGTCAAGATGTATTTTTCTAAGGAGTTCGATGAAATTAAAAGCGAATTGGCTACCTTACGAGAAATCGGTAAAAGTGTGGAATTTCTTAGCTCTCAGTATGACCGGATGAATTGTGACATAAAAGATTTGCAGGATCGAGTTACCGTGGTTACTTAAGAGAATTTAACGCTATCCAGTCAAGCATTAGATATCTCAGATAGACTTAGGCTAATGGAACAATACTCTCGAAACGAACATTGAGACCAACGGCGTTCCGGAAAATAAGTCCGAAAATTTGCTGTCCTTAGCGAAACAACTTTGCTCTACTATTTCCGTCCCTTTGATGGACACTGAAGTACTATCGGTCGCTAGAGTAAGAAAAATGAATGATAACAATGATCGTCCCCGTTCCATCATAATTAAATTGCAGTCCACAATAAAACGTGACGCAATATTGGCTGCAGTTTCCAGTTTCAATAATAAAAACACGACAGATAAACTTAATTCTTCTCATTTGGGATATGGTGGGAATAAATCACCCGTATATGTTTCTGAATATTTATCCCCTCAGAACAAAAAACTACATGCTAGCACCAAAAACATTGCACGTGAAAAGGGTTATAAAAATGTTTGGATCTGTAATGGTCGTATTTTTGTGCGAAAAGAAGATCATACCCCTGCAAAACAAAAAATTAAATGCCACGACTCTTTGAAAAACTTGTAATTACATAATTTGATATGCCATATTACTAAGACCGTAACTGTCAAAATAAAATTTAATATATATTATCAAATTTCGGAGATCTGAAAACTAAGACGGACAACATTAAACTATCTTCACTGGTTACCCATTATGATATAATAGTGGGAACAGAAACATGGCTTGACAACACAGTATCGGACGGGGAACTGTTCGGCGCAAACTTCAATGTTTATAGACGTGATCGTAATTCTACCCGTCTCGCTGGCAAGCGAGGCGGAGGTGTCCTGGTAGCAGTATCGAAGAAACTGTACTCTAAAAGAGTTAACCATTTTGAGAGCTGTTATGAAGACTTGTGGGTTTTGGTGAGAGTGAATATTAATGATAAACTCGTGTACTGCTTGTTTTGTGTAGTATACTTGCCCCCTCCAGTAACTAATAGTTTATTAGATGGATTTCTTGACAACTCCAATATTGTAATGCAATCATGTAGTAACGACACAATAATATTGGGCGATTTTAATTTGAATTTTATGGATTTGATTACCGATGTTTCCAAATCCGTAAACAAATTAACCCCTAACAATTATTGCTGTAATTTAGGATTTCAGTTTATTGGCTTCTTGTCTTTAAACAATTTATCACAATTTAATGCTGTGAAAAACGCTAATAACAGAACCCTTGACCTTGTTTTAAGTAATCTTAAGAATATAAATGTTGGCGAATGTCTATGTCCAATAAATAAAACTGATCGTCATCATCCTGCTTTAGAGATAAATGTAAATATGTCAGTACCACATTTGTTGAATAATAAATCTTTTGCATCTCACAATTTTAAAAAGGCTGATTATACTAAAGTAAATTTTAGGTTAAGTAAAGTTGATTGGGGTTTTGAATTTAGTGATTGTCAGGAGGTCGATGTCATGGTATCTAGGTTTTACAAAATACTTTATTCCATTATTGATGAAACTGTATCCAAAACGAAGCCGCGTAATTTAAAGTTTCCTATTTGGTTTACGCCGAACTTAATTAAACTGATAAAAGAAAAAGAAATGATCCGATTAAAAAAATCCAGGAGATACATTAAAGGGTTAAGTCGTTGTCCTCTAAGAATTATTTAGATTATATAAGGGAACCAAAAAATTCATTCAGTCTAATCCTAAAACAAATGTACCTAGACAATCTCTCGGCTAATAGTGATGAGGGGATATGTAATCTTTTTGCTCAACATTTTTCATCTGTGTTCTCCCAACTCAAGTGCACTGCAGCTCCTGTATTGTTCGATGTGTATTCGCAAAGTTCTTTGCATGATATAGAAATAACAGAACGTAAAATCTGAGTATATTCAAGTCGCTAGATATGTACAAAGGAGCGTGTCCTGATCGCATTCCTCCTCTTTTTTATAAAAAAATATCTAACACTTCCTCTAAAACTTATTTTTAGTAAATCGTTATTAACCAGGACTTTTCCAACTGACTGAAACGTTCCAATGTTATACCTATTTACAAAAAAGGAGATAAAAATAATGTTAGAGTTAAATTATAGACGGGTTTCAATTATAAGCTTATTTCCAAAGATATTTGAACGCTTAGTTTACCCAAGTTTAACAAATCATCTAAAAAATATTATCGTAGAGGCACAACACGGGTTTTCCAAAGATAAATCTACTATTAGCATTTTTATGGATTACATCATGAAAGTTGCAAGTGCAATGGATGGTGAAATGCAGGTGGATTCTATACACACATATTTTTCTAGTGCATTTGATGTCGTGGACCATCAATTACTTATATCTAAATTAAATTCATACGGCGTGCTTGGGAATTTACTTCGTTGGCTAAGTTCTTATCTCAAAAATAGATTATAAAGTGTCGTATTGCTTGGATATAATTCTAATGATTATGTGGCTCTATCAGGCGTACCACAAGGTTCCCATATTGGTCCTATTCTTTTTTTAGGCGTTTATTAACGATATAACACACAAATTAAGTACAGCCACTGTTCCATTTTCGTCGACGATTTAAAATTGTTCAAGGCTATTAAAAACCAGGATGATGTTCTATCTTTACAAAATGACCTTGATGCTATCCATGAATGGTGCAAAAATAAAAAAAATGAAACTTAATCTTCGTAAGTGTACCTACGTTAAATTCACAAAGAATAAATCTACTGTTAAATCTTGTTACTTCATTAATAAAGAGGTACTGAGTGAATCTTCATCCACCATTGATCTTGGAGTCATTCTTGATAACAAACTTAGCTTTATGGAACATATAGATAATTTGGTAACGCGTTCATGGAAAATGCTAGGTTTTGTCAAACGTACATGTAAGGATTTCAAAAATGCTCAGACTCTGATAACTATCTATAATGCATATAAAGTTCAAAACTGTCTATACTATAAAGATTATACTCGTAACTCTAGACTTTACATCTTGGAATGAGTTTGCATGAAAGGAAACACTAAACCTTTCTTAACATTATACCACACATTCTCCAAGTCTAACTCATTCACACACAACTCATCCAAATCACTTATATTTTCTCTCAATCTACATTTGTACTTTTCTTTCACATCTTTATATTGTAACCTCTCAATCCTTATACGCTGTAACGCAGTGGTAGACACAGATTTCCGATGCCGCCAACGTCTGAATTTTTATACTTCTTTTATTATATTTATGTCACTGCACCAATTACAAAGTCTACCTTAAAGCACATTCTTGAGCCCTCTGTTTTGTGCTATACACAAGCACAAGTCAGTGGACATATTTCTTATAATTTTTTATATTTGATACAATGCTGCCTAATGAAACAAATCTTAAACTCCTATGTCTTACTATTACTTGTTATAATATTAACCTTATGTAAGGAGCAAATATAAACTAACCTGAATTTAAAACTATGAAGGGATTTTTTATTATTTATTTATTTTGGAAGACAAAATTAATTAATTTAGTAACACTGATATTTTTTTAATATAGGTAATAAATTCAATGTCATATAACAATAACTTGCTTAATAGAATATGATTTCCTTTTTTAGAATTTATTTAATAATGCGTATTAATCGTATCATTAGAATTATTACTAATAATGCTTCATTTTTTGTGGCGGCTACACAGTCTTGATTGATTTACATAAAGTACGTAAAAATGCAAATTTCCAGAGCCAATATAACTAAAAAAATATTAAGAGTTTCATAAATCAATGACTAGATGGCGGTAGTTTAACCAACAGTGAAATTTCTTTAAAGACACAATAGCATGATTCCGCACAGTGTTACCATATATATAGTTTTCCCCGTATTTATAGAGATTTTGGGTGTGTGATACAGATTAGCACTGGATACAGATTTTTATACAGTGTTTTCTAACTCTATTGATTGGATTACCGTAATATTCAACTTAAAACAGAATGAAGCAAAATAAGTGACTATAAGATATTATAGATACCGCTTTACACACATCATTGCATGATTCTATTCTTTATGGTTAATTTTATTTTTTCACAACGTAATTAGTTAGTATGGCAGAATTAAAATTGTATTATAAAATATGTATATATAAAATATATATGACTGAAAATAATAAAGTAATTATATGTTAATTTGTTGTAAATTTTTGAGTTTTAATAATATGTCGTTTGCTTAAATTAATGTTTTCAATTTTGCTATATAAAAAATTTAGTGCATAGTGTATATTTTATACGTGGTAGAGCCACGCTGCAGCTATACTATGGTTGCAGCACGAATGAGTCAGCTCGACCGGGGAAGGACCACGCTCTCACAGAATACCAGCGTAAAATACCAGCTTAATACTGCTGTGTTTCGTATGGTGAGTGTAGGAATCTGGAGACAATTTTTTTACTGGAAATGACGCATTCCATCATAGTCCTCTGGCGTGACAACTTATCTGCCTTTTTTATTCTTAAGCTAGGATAAATTTAGATGTCTATGAGCTACAGTATCCGCTTACCATTGGTGAACTATGTGCTCCTTTGTCACCTTTTTTCTATAAAAAAATCATTTAATAACGATAATCAAACCTTATCAGCTTATCACGTTAGTAGTTATTCCTTGTTTTTCAAAAGAAGCAATGATGATAATGATGATCAATCATTCTGTTTTGGTTTATTAGGTTATACAGATTTTAAGTTTATATAGCATACAGATTTTAGCACTTACTAATACAGATAAAAGGTTCAAGGCATCTGGCAACACTGATTCCGCATGTGATTGTGCTAGTCAATTCAGCTCGGACAAAAATACCCAATTGCAGTGTGTTTTCGTGCAAAAAACAATCGAAACCGTCAAATCTACAAAAAGGTAACGAATATTTTTAACATAATATTATCGTTAAAATAGTATAAGTATAATGTGAATATTATAGTTAATGATTTGACAAATAAGCTATTTCTAATTTAATATAATTTACTATAAAAATAAATATTTTAACGTAAGTTTATTTGATTTAAAC